TGGCGCCCGGTTGCCGGGGGCTTGAGATGCGCTTCCCATGAAGCCGCAAACGTATTGTCCGGAGTTGCACCGCGTGCAGGAGACGAAGAAGGGCTCTGACCGTGGGCGCCCTCGGAACTAGCAAGGCTGGGTGTATTTCGTGTCATAGACACAGGGCTCATAGAGCGGAGAATGTTTAAATATGGTCTTAGGGACGTAAAGGTGTCTCAGACACGCAATCCTAGTATGAGGCGACAGTAAAATGTGAATTGTGGATATTCACGTTTTATATGGGGGGAATGTAACGGGGATACTCATACTCTTGTATGAAAGGGTGGGACACACAAGATGGTGTGACCGTACAAAGTTATGCACTACACAAGTCGGTGTAATCACACAATGGTATGGCAACACCATAACAAGAAGCCACTACGTGGCAAGACTGCCAGTAGTTATGTATACTAATTACGTTCTGCTATTTTGCATCAGTGAATTCTTATTTGATGCCGGCTCTGCCGCAAAAAAAACTAAATTTAATTTTAGTTTTGAACGGAAGAGCGTCTTTGCCTTGGTTAAGGTTTCTAAGTTCTCTTTTTGAAGGCAGCGGATTGCAATCCGCTGCACTCGTACTGGTTCCTTTATTCAATGTAAGATCGGTGATATTTGTAAGCTTCCGTTGAGCAAAAAGCTGCGGCAGCTCCGCGCAACCAGAATAAGTAAAACCCCGTTCCACTCTCCCCATCGAAATCGTTATACTCACAATTCATTTTAACTGTCGCCTTGTACGAGGCTCGCGTGTGTGAGACACCGTTACGTTCCCAGGATCTTCTTTACGCATTATCTGCTCGACGAGCCCGGTGTCTATGCCTCGAAATACAGCCAGCCTCGCTGGATCCGAGAGCGCTCGCGGTCAGAGCCCTTCTTCGTCAGCTGCACGCGGTGCAATGTCAGACAACACGCCCGCGGCTTCACGGCAAGAAAATCCCAAGCCCTCGGCAACCGGGCGCCACATACTTCACCCGCCACGGGCGACGATTTTCCTCGTCGAGGATTCGGAGAAGGCCGACCACGAGTTGGATACCCCTTTCTCAGGATGGGAAGAAGAGAAGGACGAGGTGCGCAGACGGCGCAACGTGATCCCTGCTCGAACCTTGCGGA